AACGCTGTCCAATCAAGGTTATCCTTCAATACTAAGCCAAGATGTTTATGTTTAGTAACGTAGGGTATGGGAGTGTTACTGATGCTGATAACAGGCATTGTAGCAGTCTGAAATCCTTTATGGCTAGAGAAAAGCATAGCTATACATGTATCTATATTCAAATGAAGTTTCCAAGTCACTGACCAATTATAGATGATGACTAAGTCCTTATTTATTTGATCCACAGCCTTGGATAAGTCATTCCTTTTTGTAATGCAATACAGAGATACATCATCAGCAAAGAGTTTCATTGTGGAGTTGATGTTATCAGCGATATCATCAATAAATATTAAAAACAACAATGGCCCCAGGACCGAGCCCTGGGGCACCTCTCGATTAATTCTCCTCGCCGATGATGTAACACCCTTGCAAGCCTGTAATTGCAAGCCCTTGTACCATACACTATCAAAAGCCTTGCTGAAATCAAGGAACGCAGTCAACACAGGCTCGTTTTGGTCGAAAGCTATCAGCATCTCATGTGTTATGGATACTAATTGATTAATGGTAGAATCATTCTTTTGAAACCCAGACTGGTTTTTATTCAGAAGTCCGTTATTCACGAGATACCCATGCACTTTTCGGTATACAATACATTCTAAAATTTTTGATAAAATCGGAAGTAAAGTAATTGATCTGTAATTACGTGGACTGTGACAGTCACCAGATTTAAATATCACAGTAAACATATTTTTAATTTTTAGTTCGTATTTTTTTATACTTTACAGTTTAGTGATTTTTTTTATAAATTGTACACTCAAACACGACATTTACAATATTATTCATGTATCTTGGTTATTCATGCATCGTTGGTGTCTTTTGCACTGTATAGTTTAGAAAATTATTTCACACATTGTACACTCAAACACTACATTTACAATACTATTATCCATATCTTCAATCTGCTACTACAATGTGATCGTTCATACCGTCGGCTTAATATAATTTGTATTACTCTTATGAGTTATACATTATACCTATCATATAAATGTGTCTGTAACAATTGTCTTCTAACAATCTTACATTTAAAATATGAAAATGAAAATATGCATTATGTTTGTATGACCCCAGTCTCATTCACACGAAACATGAACTAATCCACAGATTCTCCGTAGATACAAGATTATGAATAGAAACTTACATGTACACACCTCACTCAATCACTCCTACTTAAACACCTATTATTAATGTGAAGAAGAGAAAGATGATACAAACGTGGAATGACAATATCTTTAAAGTTACGGTTTGTACATTACGTCATTTGTCTTTTTTTTTGTCTTTTTTAAATCCTCTAATTATAATTTCTCTATTGATACCATAAGAGACGTTCATTTGTCAAGTATCTTGCAAGTAAAGCGTAAACGTACATACCAATATGACACTGTGTTTCGTGAAAACGTTAAAAGCGATAGCCAAAGATGGAAGAAGAAGCAATATTTACAAAATCGAAGAGAATAAAGCATCAGTTCGTGAAAAGGAGTGTATATCATACTGATCTCACTCATCGCGCCGTTATTATCAGTAATCCCTTGAGAAAATATCACAATAATTCTTCTATTAAACTACATTTTATTGAACGCTCTAAATTAAATGTTACTACGAAACGGTTGCGTACTACATTTGATTCACCTGGAATGAGAACGACTTGGCTAAAAACCAGTTCTACAGTAAAGCTTTGCGTAATTGTTTTGCAGATGCGTTACGATTTTCTAATATGATAAGTCATTACATAAATAAGTGTACCACAACAAAAATTTTATGTAAATGTTCGAAGATAGAAAAGAAGTAAGCGCTGAGTTACACCAGTCGCTTTTTTTCCAATTTACCATCTACTTATACACTTTGCAAAATTTGCACCATCAGATTTCATTTACTATTCAATGATAATTGCGATGAGACTGATTCTTATACTGCATCTACTGATGCTAATGTAGATGATGATGCTTGTTGTTGTTTTTTTTGGAATCGTTTTTTTCACAGGATCAATGTCAGTTGTACTATTACTATTACCTTCATCTGAATCTTATGTATACAATAGTTTAGGACGATTTGATGTATTTATCCAACAGCTGAATTGTGTGACAACACGTAATTAGGTTGATTTGCAGCATTCGCATTGTTTATAATGAATATTGATGGATCTACATCCATTCGCATATTTGCAATATCGGTAGCTTCAACGGTTATCATATTAGATTCATCGGTAGCTTCAACGGCTTCAATCGGT